TGAGCTCATTTTATATGATAACCAACTCAACGGAACAATACCATCTTGGTTAGGTAGTTTGCCATCATTGGAGCAGTTATCCCTTGTAAGTAACCAACTCAGCGGTAATATCATTGAGTTCCAATCTCGTTCTTTGTCATCGCTTCTTTTAAGCGATAACAACCTGCATGGCCTGATTCCGAGATCAATCTTTGAACTTGAGAACCTTCGATACCTTGGTCTATCATCCAATAACTTGAGTGGCACTGTGGAGTTTGAAAAGTTTTCAAAGCTCCAAAGTCTTTCTAGCCTTGAGCTTTCCTATAACCATCTATCCTTGAGTTTCAACCATTTGAGTAACAACAGCTGGCCTCAACTTTTGGACCTAGTTTTGTCTTCTTGCAACATAAGTGAGTTCCCATACTTTCTAAGAGCCTCACCAAACTTGGAGTCGTTACACCTCGGAAGTAACAAACTGCATGGCCTGATTCCGAGATCAATCTTTGAACTTGAGAACCTTCAATCCCTTGGTCTATCATCCAATAACTTGAGTGGCACTGTGGAGTTTGAAAAGTTTTCAAAGCTCCAAAGTCTTTCTGACCTTGAGCTTTCCGGTAGCCATCTATCCTTGAGTTTCAACCATTTGAGTAACAACAGCTGGCCTCAACTTTATTCCCTAGATTTGTCGTCTTGCAACATAAGTGAGTTCCCATACTTTCTAAGAGCCTCACCAAACTTGGACACATTAAACCTTTCCTACAACCAAATTCAAGGCGAAGTTCCCAAATGGTTCTGGGATGTCGCAAAAGATTCATTGTCTTATTTGGATCTTTCTCACAACTTTTTGAAGGGCACTGCACGACACCTTCAGTGGAAAAACCTTACGTTGTATTATTTGGATCTTTCTCACAACTTTTTGAAGGGCACTGCACGACACCTTCGGTGGAAAAACCTTGGATATCTCAACCTTCACAACAATTCTCTCCAAGGAGAGCTTCCAATTCCATCACCTTCCACATTTTTCTTTTCCATATCAAACAACCAATTGACTGGAGAGATGCCTCCAACCATTTGCAGCTTGACTAGCCTTCAAATCCTTGATTTGTCTAATAATAAATTGGGTGGCGAAATTCATCAATGCATAGGGAACTTCAGCCAGAGCCTCTCTGTTTTGGATCTACGGAATAATAATTTTCATGGTGTGATTCCTGGGACATTTTCTAACGGAAACGTTTTGAGAAATCTTGATCTTAATGGAAATCAATTGGAAGGGTCGTTGCCGCGAACTTTGCTCACATGTAGAGAGTTGGAAGTTCTAGACCTTGGAAACAACAAAATTCAAGGCACATTCCCAAATTGGCTGGAATCTCTTCCGAAGTTGCAGGTTCTTATCTTGAGGTCTAACAAATTCTATGGTGAAATAGGCAAATTGCGTATCGTGGACCTCTCCTACAATCAGTTTAGCGGTCTCTTGCCAACAAAATATTTTGAACATTTGACGGCCATGATAAACTCGCAAGAACATGAACTGAAATATATGGGAGAGTACTACTATGAGGATAGTGTGGTAGTGACAATTAAAGGCTTCGAAATTGAAATGGTGAAGATTCAAACTTTCTTCACAACTATTGATTTCTCAAGCAACACTTTCAGAGAAGAGATTTCAAACGTAATCGGTAAGCTTAAATCACTGAAGGGGCTTAACTTTTCTCATAATGAGCTTACAGGTATAATTCCACCATCATTTGGCGATATGTGCAATCTTGAATGGTTAGATCTCTCTTCAAACAGACTCGTAGGTGATATTCCGGAGCAATTGGCAAA